GGTCACATGGGTGGCAAGCCACTCCCACAAAGGAGGCCACACCCACACAGTAGGTTCAAACAATTTTTGAAACCCACCACTGGATGAGACATACTTCGATTTGTTTCATTTGAGCTTAGCACAATATTTGAACCCAAACACACTCACTTCTAAACCATGTATCAGATGTATAGAACTCAAGATGCCAACACCAAATGCGCACTCCAAAAATTTCAGTATGATCCTTATATACAGAACACAACCCATCAAAAGTAATAACTGAAATGTAATTTTTAATGTGACAGGAAATGGATAACAGCACAACAACTGTAAACCATTCAATTTTGTTATAGTTAATTTTAAGTTTGGTATTAAATTCAAATAATTATTATCTACCATGCCGTTTTTAATCCGTGTTCTTTTTTGGCTCAAAAAGAACACGCTGTCAGGTATGAATTATATGTGCTGTGTTTTATTATCCCAAGTTTGGAATTGAGCAGAATACATACACAGTGTTTCAATTTATGAAATTAAATATATTACTTCTATTAAGCTTTGGCTAGGTGACTGGAATCACTGATTGAAGATGTCATGGTCTGAAGAATACGTTTAGTTTTTTAAAAAAATTGAGAGAAAGAGATAATCAAAATCTTTACTCTAAACATGCCCCTTTAGGAGGGTTACATGAATAATTTAGGGTTCTGGTTATCACCTATAAAATTCTTTATGGCGTAGAGTCAGGTTACCTGAGGGACTGTTTACCCCATGAAATTTGTTCATCCAGTAAAATCAGGCAGAATTGGTATACTTCAGAACCCTTCAATGAAACAATTCCACTTATTGGGATTTAGAAAACAAGTCTTCTTCTCGGTTGCAGTGTCTAACCTAATGATATCCTCCCAGAAAATAATGTAGCTCTAATTCTAATGATGTCCTGGGGACTTTTGAAAACATTGTTGCTCTCCTAGATTGTTGGGTTGGGTGATTATGGAGACCCTTTGATGTTTTGGTATATGGGATATTCTCTGAATGTCTGTTTTACTGTTTTTCTGTTTTAGGTTGTAAGCTAAATTCAATAAATAAATAAATTTATTTTCCTTTATTTTCTCTCGTATTTCTCTCAAACCAGATGTTTCGTAGTAGCATGTCACAGTTTCAAGCCAAGGTTCTTAGAATGTGAACTAAGGTTGAATGTGCTTATTGGGAGTTGGCAATTCATGAATCAGAGGCTGAACACCCCCCCAAACTAAGGGAGGGGGGGTCAAATGGCTGTTGGGGGTACTGCTATTGCATGAAAGGTGGGGCAGGCAGTAAAAGAAAGGAATGCAGACTATGAGGAGGGGAGGGGGGGAGTCAGGCCAAAGGAGAAGCACAATATCAGCTGGCTGAAATAATTCACTTCTTTTCTGATCTGCTAGCCGGAGGGAACTCTTTTTAAGTTTAGTCAAGTTTACCGAGGCCTGTGAGTTTTATCTTTAAGGTATTTGTTCCCTTCCTATTTTAACTGCAGAATTTGCCAAGGGAAATTGATTGTGTTTCTTCAGGGTTAACATAGGTATGCCACTGATCCTAGGTGAAACAAGACCATCATCAGAAATGAATTGAAATTATGCCCCTTTTCAACAGTGGTGCTATTTCTTTAACACAGCAAATAGATTTTATTTTAAAAAATGTCTATGGATAATCATCCAGGTCATGGTTGCAACTGGATTTTTTTTTCTTTGAAAATGTTTTGCTTCTCATCCAAGAAGCTTCTTCAATTCTGAACTGAACTGAAGAAGTTTCTTGAATGACAAGTGAAACGTTTTCAAAGAAACAATAAAGAAAATCCAGTTGCATTTTGAAAAACACCTGCGGGGCAATCATGACTTGGATGATTCTCCATAGACATTTTTTTAATCAAATCTATTTGCTGTGTTAAAGAAAGAGCACCACTGTTGAAAAGGGACATAATTTCAATTTATTTATGATAAATTGCACATTTTGGATTTCATTAAAAAAAATTAACTACATAGAAACATGAAAAATGTTTCAAGCTTCAGAGTTCTGTTCCCGGTTGTAGAGAAAATGATTGTGTCAGTTGTCCTAAAGTTGCATAGAAAATCATCCAGCTCCTTTCTCTGTTGCTGAAGTTGTGACTACCGTATATACTCGAGTATAGGCCGACCCGAATATAAGCCGAGGC